CCAACCCGTCTCATTCCTGCCCTCAACCTCAACATTCTGCACATTTCCAAAAAAATCCATAACCTTCCTATTCCTCGCTTCCTGCTCGCCTCCCGCAAAAAGATCGTACCGTATCCCGGGGCGACTGTGAATTTTCTCCTCATCGTAGCTATCGAAGAGCTCGCCCATTGTGAGTTTGCTGGTGGGGTCTTTGACTTTTGTTTCGAGGAACTCGAGGTTGTAGTAGGTGTAGCGGTCGATCACTGCGACGCCGACGTCGTTGTCGGCGTGGTGCGAGTAGGAGGATTGGTCGATTTCCGAGGAGCCCGTCGCGAGGATGTTTGGGGAGTAGAATTTCGAGTACATGGTGTTTGCTTGGCAGGTGTCGATCATGAAGAGGATTTCGTGGTAGCTGGGAGTTGAGATATTGAGTTAGTATGTGTATGTGTGCTGTTTTGAGGTGTGGGTGAGGGAGGACTTACCGTTTCTTCTCCCACATTTGGCCAAAAGCGTCGGCGAGATCAAAGGCGCTGATTTCTTCTGCGTCTTGGAATTTCAGGAATTCGTTGCCGCCGTGGCCAGTCATGTAGACAAGGATGTTGCTTCGCTCGTCCGTCATTAATCGCTTGCTGCGGGGCATGTCCTCTCCCACACGATCTGTCATAAGACGAATAAAGTTCTCGACTGTGACTTCATAGCCCCTGTAGTCCACCTCGATGTTGTCGCCGTAGAGATCGAGTGCGCGGTCGGCGTTGTTATACACGGTTCCAGGGAAGGCGTTGCGCGGGTTGCACGCCATGTCATCGGGGAGCATGAGAATGATTTGCGAGTCGGGGATTCCAAGTCGCTTTACTGTGCGGTAGAGAGACAGGACATTGGCCAAGTGGCGGTAGTTGAACCAGAAGCGCGAGGTCGATACTAGGACCGCCCAGTTGGATGTGTGTTCGCTGGCGGCAAAGGGCGCCGCCAGCAATGGCAGGAATATCGTGGACAACTTCATCGTCAATGTGGAGTGTATCGAGACGAAAGTAAAGTCGAGCTGGGGTTAGATTGTACGGGCCGCGACGCGCTCTCCAAACCCGGGGGGCGGTTCACGATGTTCCCCCCAGCCTGGTGTTTGATTGGCGACGTCTGACATCTGACAAATCGGAGATAAGCAACGTTCTAAGATCCGGCGTCCCCGTCACGTGGCTGATCGTCTAAGGCTAGCCAGGTCAAATCGGGGGACTTTGCATCATCCCGTGCACATGCACCGAGCACGCCATTACCAATGACAAGATGATCCCGTAATCTTCCTATCAGGTGGATCGTCTTCCGCCCCTCTCTCGATCCGCCTTTCTTTTCCTTTATTAACTAAGTACTCGCCTTCGCCGTCGCGCTGGCCGAGTCAATCCAGCTTCAGGATTTCGAAAGCATGGCGCCGGACCGAGGCTACACGGAACTGCAGAATGAAAGAGCTGGAGATGGTGAAGAGACGGAGCATGCGGCGTTGAGACGTAGCAGAACGGGGACTCGTAGTTACTTGGCTGAGCGGGCATCGCAGCCGCAGAACTTTACGCTCCGCGGTATTTTGGTTGGCCTGGCGATTGGAATCGTCATTTGCTTCTCTAACATGTATTTTGGATTGCAAACGGGTTGGGTGAGCAGCATGGCCATGCCTTCGGCGCTCATTGGGTTCGCATACTTCAAGGTTGTTGCGAAGACGCTTAAGTTGCCATTTACACCAGTCGAGAATGTTCTGATTCAGTCAGTCGCGGGATCAGTTGGTACCATGCCCCTTGGATGCGGATTCGTGGGTGTTATTCCGGCATTAAACTACCTATTGAAACCAGAAGAAAACGGACCGTTGGATATTAGTATCTGGAAGTTGATTGTCTGGGCCGTCGGAATCTGCTTCTTTGGTGTGGTCTTTGCGGTTCCGCTCCGGAAAGAAGTCATTATCAGGGAGAAGCTCAAATTTCCAAGTGGGACTGCTACTGCACTGCTTATCAGGGTGCTTCATGGAGAAAAAGAGTCGAAAGAGGTGGTAAATTGCGAGCAAGAGTTTTCGGATGACGAAGAAGCGTCTCGAGGACTTCTACAGGGATCGAGTGCCCAGCGAGAAGAGCATGATCTAAGACCATCCTTGGACGACAACCTGAAAACCGCAGGTCAGGAACCTGAAGAAGATGAAGATGACGGAGACTGGAAATCTAAAATCAGGCTGCTGTTAATCTCGTTTGCTGGATCTGCCTTGTTCACCGTTGTGTCCTACTTCATCCCGCAACTGCACGACATTCCCGTTTTTGGCCTTTACCTAGCGCAAAATTGGCTGTGGACATTGAACCCTTCACCGGCTTATGTTGGACAAGGCATCATCATGGGGCCTGCTACGACACTACATATGCTTCTCGGTGCCATTATCGGCTGGGGTGTCCTCTCGCCACTTGCAAAACACAAGGGATGGGCTCCAGGACCTGTTTCTGACTGGACAGACGGCTCTAAGGGATGGATTGTGTGGATATCACTTGCCATCATGCTGGCAGACTCCCTCGTCAGCTTAGGATGGCTGCTTCTACGGCCACTCGTCACGTTTTCTACAGCATACTACCCGACTGCCAAAGAGATTTTTCAGTCGCATACCTGGAAGGAGATTCTCACGTTCAACATTACGCCTAGACAAGGATACACACAGGTCGGCGATGGGACACAAGAAACTCCATTGATATCTATCAAAAAGCACTTCGCTGCTGATTCAGACCCAGATGCACCCCCCGAGCATCTCGTATCGAACCGCACCACCATTATCGGACTCGTTGTATCGCTACTCCTCTGTGTCATCGCCATCCATGTAACATTCCCCGGTCTGATCCCCTTCCGCCTGACACTTCTCTCCCTGGTCCTCGCGCTCTTCCTTTCCATAATGGGTGTCCGCGCACTAGGCGAAACAGATCTCAATCCCGTCTCCGGCATCTCCAAGCTTACGCAACTCGTCTTCGCGCTCGTCACGCCAACAACAGGGCTAGCCGCCAAGAACGCAGTGATTATCAATCTTGTGGCTGGTGCAGTGTCAGAGTCTGCAGCGCTGCAGGCGGGAGACTTGCTGCAGGATCTCAAGTGTGGGCATATACTGGGAGCGGCGCCGAATGCACAGTTTTGGGGCCAGATGATTGGATCGGCAGTTGGTGCGGTGGTGTCGGCGGTTGTGTACAAACTGTATACAAATGTGTATACCATCCCTGGTGGGTTGTTCGAGGTACCAACGGCCTATGTGTGGGTCTTTACTGCGCGGCTGGTAACGGGGAAGGGTCTGCCGCCCATGGTTAAGGAATGGGCGAGTGGAGCGGCTGTCATCTTTGCTGTCAGTACAGTAATCAGGGTCTGGGGTAACACTCGAAAGCGGAACGGCTTGAGTGGATGGTGGATTGACTTTGTGCCTGGCGGAATTGCTGTTGCCGTTGGTGAGTCTTCTTTTTCTTTATTCTTGTCATATGTTGGGCTTTGCTAATATCATGCTTCAGGTATGTACAACACGCCTTCGTTCACGCTGGCACGCACAGTCGGGGGTCTGATAAGTCTTTGGTGGCGACGCTGGAAGGGCAGAAGCGAAACTCCGATTGTTGTACTTGCAAGTGGTCTGATTTTGGGCGAGGGATCACTCAGTATCATGAACCTCTTACTGGCCAGTTTGAACGTGCCGCATCTCTAGAGTAGCTCACGAAAAATTGAGTCTTCTGCTGTCTGCACACCATTCAACATGTATATTTTGACGTTTCGCCGCGTTATCCAAGTCGTATATCCACCTCCTCCGTATCTGCAGCTTCCCAGTCTTCTTTCCAAATTTGTCCTATCGCTTTTCGATATGCAATGCCATCTTCCCACTCGATCCACAGTACGTCATAACACCTAAACTGCCAATCCGATGCTGGCTCATAAATCCCATTGTAGTAGTGCTCTAAATCCGCAAAACATTCCCTGGGGCAACTGTCAATATCGATATACTGATCACCGAGACTTCGAACACGGGCATGCTTCAAGCACACAGGCGCGCTAACACCAATGCAAATAAGCTCGACATCGTTTTGGGGTAGGTCGAGTGAGTAGAAGGATAAGCCGAGGTCTAGAGCACCGATGATTCGGCCCTCAGATCCTAGTATAAAAGCCGTATCATTGCTGAAGCCATTGCAGTCATGCTCTGCTAGACATGCGATGAGCCGGCGAGTACGAAATTCGATAACAGTGGAATAAATATGATTGAGCCTCGATGTGAGGGTCTCTTCGCCTTCAACTTCTTCGGACAATGGCTCTTCGCTTAGGACCGTTGATGCCAGACCGCGAGACTCGTAGTAGTGCAGATCTCGTATGAGTTCTCGCTGTTCTGATTCCAAATTGGTAGGGAGTTTGTAAAATTCGGTGATGTGAGGGTATGCGAGACGGTCGGGAGAGGCACGCATTCTGATACTGCTGACTTCACTGGCAAAAGACATATCGATTGGGCCGAGCCAGCCAACCCATGACCATGAAGGAAATTGTTCCAGAATTTTGCCTTTAGAATCTACCCGTCTTTGGTGTCGCGAGTCCATGTCGTGGTGCCAGCATAGCATGTTGTTAAAGAAGAGTTCCGGCAGGCCATATAGCATGCCACCTTTCATTGCACGGCCTTGCACCGCGATGAATGCGTCAAATGCCGATAGGATATCTGCTGGATTAAATAGATTCCTCCTGCTGTACTGTTCCACCTCTGTACAATAATGCGCGGGATTGGGCTCCCTTGTCCACAAAGCCAGTGTTGTTTTTTTCGGCATTCGAGACGGCCTGTGTCCATTTTCTTGCTGTCGAAAGTTCTGGCATACCCATGTCACAGTTTGGTCGTGAAATACTAGCATACGCCGCGAGAGTTTCCATTCTTGAAAGGTCCAGCCTCGGGTGTGGTAGACTTCGCGCACGTTTGTCTTTTTTGGGTACGCTGCAAACATGCGACATTCGGGACTGAAATCGAAAAACTCAAATGGTGGTGTCCTCAGGCGTTCCTTCCCAACACCATAAATCCCATAGTTACTGTCTGCTCCTTCGGTAGCTGCGATAGTGACGTAGGAGTTGGAGTATATTGAGGCCATGGCAGCCAGTTGACCGGGCTTTGCAATCTCATCGTCCTGTACGATACAGAATCGATCGACCCATAGATACTGCATACCAAGAGCACGGGTAAGGTGTATGCTATCTTTGACCGTGTTGGGAAGTTTGCAGTCGTTCTCAGGTACCTTAAATGCGTTTTCCTTGCTTAATGAGTCAAAATTTGCTTTTGTCGTCTGAAAAGGATCGACAGTGGTGCCCCAAACGTAACTCAAGGCGGCGTATCGATACATGTGCCCATTCTGAGGTTGCTTCACCAAACAAAGCTTCTTGACGTCTATGAAAAGCAATCCGGTAGCTTCTGGTATTTTGCCCACAGGATCCGTGATAGTGTGGCACGTTCCGGTATGGTCGCGATCGCATCGGTCAATCCATCTCTTAATATTGGCAATACTGATCTCATGTTGGAGGAGAGAAAATTCATGTCCATCTGGTGCATCTGTATCAGCTCTCATTTCGATGCAAATATAAGGTTTCTTCCAGGAGTAACCATCGTGGCGATCTCTAAGGAGCAACACCCAGTAGTCACCGAAGGACTCTATATAGCTAAGCTTGTCACGGAAAGAAATGTTCGATACTTCTTGATGAAACAACTTTACCACTTTCCCACATGTAACACATCCATGATTTTGTTCAACCTTGTCATCCTCCCACACCAACTTCTCGCCGTCCCCTGAGGCCTTTTTGATCGCTTTTGCAACCGAATCACACAACTTGCACTGCACCATTGTGCAGTAATGTTTCCAATCAGATTTTCGCGTAGTGCGGGGTAAATGTTGAGTACCTGGGCAATGGTCCAGTGCACATAGTCGGTGTACATCAGGCTGAGATGATTGTCATGTTGATCTGCTTGGTCGAGAATTGCTGACTGATGGAAGATTCGAATTCTAATAAAAATACAATCGTGTAACTAGGCAGAATCACAGCTTTTATTGAGGTGTGTATATATTACGCCGCATTCGTGCAGCTGCATGACATAATACGTCCAATCCTGCGAAAGCCAGCGCAATCAATTGTGGATCGATCAGGCGATCAAATACAGGATAGGAAGCGAAGAGGGGCAACATGTCTTCGGGCCTTGCTCCCCAGAATTGTAGTAAGGTCTGAGATGACGTTCAACGGCGAAAGTCTAAGGAAAGAAGACTCGTGTTAATTTCTTTCTGAGCACCATATCTGACAGTTGCTTCGATCTTAATTATGCTTCAGCCTCTTAGGTTGTAGGAACCTTCCTTCTGATTTGCGACCTCACATCAGTCCAGAAATAGCCGGGCTCAGTCCTTAAGGTGTATACATTGATAAGGGGCTGGCCAAACGGGATTGATGCTTTGTGCATCAGTGTTGAAACCCATATTCATCAAGAGTGACTTGATGATTTGGAGGCTGTGATGCGCTGGCTACCTTCTGGGGTTGCAGTCCTTTTGGGAAGTTGTGAATTGTAATAGAAAAAGCTTACAGAACTTGAAGTTCTAAATAAGTCAAAAGCATTTGGTAGGACGTAGAACCAAGGACGGACGTCCAAAAGGAATCAGGCACATCCCTGGTATGTCCATTCCATGGTTACTAGCAAATCGGCGCTAAATGGGGCATCGCGCTTGCTGATGTACCCTAGAAACCCTACGAGATCGTGCTCCACAATTTACCGACGGGAATACTGACATATCAGATACAGAGCTGCTCATGCATGGCGCTGAGGCTATTGAACAAATTATCTCAACTAGCCACAAGCCATCAACTCTATGACCGCGGACGGTGAAGGTCATGTAGTCTTGAATGCGAGGATACGTAGCACCATCCGCAGGCTTGACGGACGTCATTTCTGGCATCCAACTATCACACCCAAGGCTGATGCCGCATGTGCTATTCTCTCCCAGATAAAGGAATCTCACTGGCATATGAGGGGAAGTAAGAATATCCACCCAATCGTTTCATCATTCATGAGGAATATAGGCTATGACGTCTTCTTGTCGATGCGCTGAGGGTATAGGATAATCAATGCTTAAGCAGCAGCGGAAATGATTTCAGATGCAATCCAGTTGCTTTCCTTGTATACTACCTACCCATTCAGTCTTTAGTTCTTATTGTACCGCTGCCATCAGCAAACATAACTTTGGGAAGTGCTCGACCTGCGCATCTCCTCTTGTTGACTATTTTTGTCAATTATGACTACTCAGGGACCAAGTGCTCTGGGTCTTTCGATTACCCGCGATTGGGCAGACTGTCATTCAGAATATCATCTGAACAGCATCATTTCCGGAAATAGTGAGTAGTTGTTAAAGAATGTACAAAGTAGATTTTAACTTTGTTCACTCATGTTCAGGTGCGGCACCTTTGACTCAAACGCGTAGCCAACAATCCGGATATTCAGCAGATTCAGAACTCTCGCCTCACCGAACATCATCGAGCAACCAGCAGAAACGATCGGTACTTGGCTTACACCCTTAAGCACCTGTTGACGGGGAGCACGTCGAGGCGCCCTAATCGAGTCTGCTATGGCCGCGAATAAGGATTGTTATGAGAGAGCCATTCGCAGAGTTCTGGGGTACTGCTGTGATGGTGATGTTCGGCAATGGCTCAGTTGCACAGACTCTACTCTCAGCTGGGCAGACGGCTGCTCCAGGAGGTAATGGTTTCGGAGCATATCGATCAATAAACTGGGGGTAAGCTGAATGGTTCCCCTTTAGCTCTTGGTACAAATCTCTGACCTACACCAGTTGGGGTTTAGGCGCAATGCTTGGGCTGTATGCGACAGGTGATTATGGCGCTTATCTCAATCCTGCAATTACATTGAGTAACTGCATTTATCGCCAGCTACCATGGCGGCGGTTCCCAATGTACTTTGTAGCACAGATGCTCGGAGGATTTGTCGGATCTGGTGTTGTATATGCAAACTACATCAGCGCCATTGACTAGTTTGAAGGCGGAAAAATGCGGACAGTTCCTCCCGCAGAAAATGCTACTGCAGCTATTTTCTGCACCTACCCGCAACCATTCTTGACCAAGACTAGTCAGTTCTTCTCAGAGTTCATCGCAAGCACGTTACTCATGTTCCTGATATTTGCGCTGAAAGATCCTAGCAATAACGGTGTACCCAAGGTATGTGGATAGATTTAATAATGACCAAAAATGCTAACAAGATCCGCAGAGCGATAAGTGGTTCCCACTATGTTTGTTCTTTCTCATCTTCGGTTTGGGCTCTTGTTTTGGTTGGCAGACTGGCTATGCCATCAACATTGCTCGCGACTTTAGCCCATGACTGATGTCCTATGCTGTCGGATATGGCCATGAGGTTTGGTCTGCAGGTGGATATTACTTCTGGGTGAACATCTCTTCATGGCTTGAGCAGCGACTTTACTGATTCCCAATTAGATCCCCATGGTAGCGCCATTTCTAGGCTGCGCATTCGGGGGATTCTTGTATGACGTCTTCATCTACAAAGGCCCCAGTCCCATTAATTCTCCTTGGCTAGGCTTGAAGCTACTAACGCCTGGAAATGCGATGTGCGTAAGAAGAGAGCACCTGAAGAGAGAGAAGAAGGAATTGTGTGATATGCTGCTGTATCAGTCGTTCGAAGAGATCGTTATTTCCAAGACCATTCATGTTCGATATGACTCGCGTGTTAGCATGTAAGAGACATGCTGCTGTCGCTGGAAATAGAAAGAGCTCGATGAGGTGCTTAGTCACTTACACGTGCGGGCGTGGCCTGACGACATTGCCCCGCAGGGTTGCTGCAGGCTGCTGTTACTCACCAAATTTTGACTCATGTTGTAATCGCTTCCATCCCAAACTCTTTCGGCTGAATCTACACTACCCTCTCATACCCAGCGAGCGCATTACTAGCGTCACATCAAAATGGCAAAGAAGGGCGCCGCCGGCGCCGGCGAGAACTCGAAGAAGGCACAAGGGCAGGCTCGCAAGGCAGAGGCCGCGGCATCAAAACAGGCAGTAAAGAACCAGCAGGCGGAGAAGGAAGAGGCAGACGAATGGAAGAAGGGTGCAAAGTCTAATGCGAAGGCGTAAGTGGGCTTGCATCTTTGCGCAACTGTAGACTAACATATGACAGCGAGGCCGCATCAGAAAAGGCTGCAGAGGCAGCACGTAAGAAGGCCGAGAAGGAGGCATTGCTGCGCGAAGAAGAAGCATCAATGCCATCGAAGCCCAAAGGAAAAGCACCAAAAGCCGAGAAGAAACCCCGCGGGATCGACGCAGCCTTGGGCTCCCTCGACGGGAACCCATCCGCCCTCAACGCTAGCGGTATCGACAATGCGCTCGATGCTCTGGATATCACAGGCAATACGCAAGAAAAAGTAGATCGGCACCCCGAGAAGCGATTCAAGGCTGCATTGGCAGTATATGAGAAGAGAAGACTTGAGGATATGAAGGACGACAAGGGGCTACGGCGACAGCAAAAAATAAATCAAATCCACAAGGAATTCGAAAAGCATCCGGACAACCCGTTCAACCAGGTTACTGGATCATACAATATGACGAGGGAGGAGAGGGCTGTGATACAAGAAGACGAGAAGGCCAAGAAGGAAAAGAGATTAGTAGGCGTAAACTAAGGTGGACGCGGCTGCCGGCACAGTATGTGTGCAGTTGTGCAGAGCATCCATGTTGCGGGAGGCCTCCAGGCTTGATGCGGGGTGATGCCGTGATGAGGGAGTATTGCGGAGGCCAAGGCATAATTAGAGGAGTTTTGCCGAATGGCTGTGTGATGGGGACCGGCCCTTGTCGCTTGGTTTAATCTCGTCGGTTGCTTTTTGCTTGTGTGATCTTCACATGCTAGGCGCCATGTATCTCCACCACAGGAATGCTGAGTTATGCGCGTGTGTCTGGGGTAGGAAGACTTGGTTGTGGTCGCCCTCGCAAGCGCTTTACATACAAACATGGCAAGCGACGAAGCTAAACTTAGCAGCCATACAACAACTAATATACAACAATAACTGTGGATACAGTACGATCAACTCTTCCAAACAATGAAGGACTAGGCGCAGTGAAGATGAGTGGACACAAAGGCAAGAAGCCCCGGGTATGAAACAGCCTGGCTAGTGGGTGATTGGCTGGGAGGCCATCTGTTCCTGAGTTTCGAAACGCCCGCTTATACCACCCCTGCCGCCTGCATCCGCGCTCCCCTTGTTCAGCGTGGCTTGATTCGAGTCAGCCCAATTCTCTACATAATGCTAGGCCCCTTCACCGTACTAGGTTTTACCCTTTACTCACGCAAACTGTTTGCACAGTACACAGTCGTTACTTCGTTTCCGTCTTTTTTGTTTCCTTGTTTCTCTTCTTCCCACCTCTTTACATTCGTTTCCGAGTAAGCATGAAGTTCTTCTCAACTACTGGAGCTGTGCTCTTGGCTGCTTTTGCGGCAAGCACCGCGAACGGTGTTAAATTCGACCCTGAGGACGAAGGTGAGACAGCAGTTGAATATGGTCTGTTCATTTCTTATAGGCTAACTTAATCAGCGTCCATCCTTGCCGTCACCCGACAATATGCGTACAGCTTGATGTCACTCTACAAGGGCAATGCTACAGGCGTTCCAAAGGAAGATATTGGCATTTGGCCACAGCCCCATTACTGGTGGGAGGGTGGTGCCGCATGGGGAGGTATGATTGAATACAGCAAGATCAGCGGCGACGATTCGCATATCAAGGCGCTCCAGCAAGCATTGACTGCCAATTACGGACCCAAGAACGACTTCATCTTGGACTATCGGAAGAGCCAGACGGTACGGAAAACTATGGAGTTATTTGATAGCAAAAGCTGACTGTATGTCCCAGGGCAGCGATGATGAATGCTTTTGGGCAATCGCCGCTATGAGTGCACTCGAGTATCAGTTCCCAGAGCCTTCACAGGCACCTGCAGACTATCTTGAAGTTGCTACTAGCTCATTCAACAGCATTGTTGGACGCTGGAATGATACCACCTGTGGTGGAGGCCTGAAATGGCAGATTTATCCCGAAAACACGTACGGATTTTACTACAAGAACGCAATCTCCAACGGTTGTGCCTTTGGGCTTGGTGCACGTCTTGCCCGCTACACAGGCGAGCAAAAGTATGCGGATTGGTCTGCGAAGATATATGACTGGACCGAGAGCGTCGGCCTCATCACCGACCAATTTGAAGTGTTTGATGGAACCGACGACAAGACCAACTGCTCCAAGGTGGCGGATGAGACCCAGTGGACTTACAATAACGCCATGTTTCTTCACGGATCAGCATACATGTACGACTTTACCAATGGCAACAAGCTCTGGCAAGACCGCACAGCCGGTTTCCTCAAACATGCCGAGGCGCTCTTCTTTAGCCCTTATGAGAATGCCACCGACATCATGTACGAATGGGCATGTGAGACGGGCGAGTCCGGAAGGCACTGCAACCTTGACCAGCAGTCTTTCAAGGCTTATCTCTCCCGCTTTATGGCCAAGACTGCATTGTTGGCTCCCTTCACCAAGGAATCCATTAAGAAGTATCTCACAGCCTCTGCGGTTGGCGCTGCAAAGTCTTGCTCTGGAGGCCCAGATGGAAAGACTTGCGGCAGCAAGTGGTACACAGGAGGCTGGGATGGTACTTCTGGTGTTGGTCAGCAGCTGTCTGCACTTGAGGTCACCCAGGCGCTTCTGCAGATCAAGAAGAACCTGCTTCCCGCGAAGAACAACGCTGCAAAGCCCCCTACGATCTCTACACCAAAATCCACTCCCACGTCGACTCCTATGCCGACTCCACAGCCTACTCCTGAACCTATTCCCGAACCTACTCCTCAACCCACTCCTGAATCTAATCCAGAGCAAGCGCCATCAAGTGCATCGCTTGCTTCGCCAAGTAAGAGTCCCCTGAGTGAGACAGTGGCAGAACAGGCACCAGAAGCTGTGCAGTCCGACAAGCCCCAGGCAATTGAGGCTCCAGCCCCAGCCTCCGATGTGCCAGCGCCCATCATCACTCCAAGCCCCATGGCTTCCAGCGCGGCTCCCGTCGTCCCTAACAACCCTGATCTTGAATTCGATGAGATCAAGCCTTCTTCTTCGTCATGCGTGCGCAACGTCACCAAGACTGTTACTGTTGCGGCGTCTTCTTCCTTTTCTACTTCTAGCTGCACGCCTAGCGTGACGGTGACTATTACAGTTCCATTCGTGCCGACCGCACCAGCTGCATCTGTTCCTCTCAACTTGACGACTTCGAGCGCAGTGTCGCCACCTGCGGGCAACAACACTGCAAGCCCGACGTTGCCAGTGTTTGAGGGCGCTGGTTCAGTCTACACTGTCAGCAGTTCTGTCTTGGCAATGTTCGTGGCTGTGGCTGTCTTCGTCGGGTTGTAGGTGTATATATGCATGTTGGCTGTGCCTTCTATGTTCATCTTTCTCGATATTACGTATAATTATACCCTTCTTGATTAGAGACTTTTATATCCTAAAGTCTAGTTGCCAAACCCTTCAATACAAACAAATTCTGTGCTGGGTTATTCCGTGTCTGTTTTTGATTCTTTATTCCCATTGCTTAGTGACTGTGTAATGCACATTCTCTTTCATGTTGTCGTCGGGGGTGATAGTGCAGGTGTGGAGCGAGTCTAGGCCTGTGATTGCCCATGGGCGTGGTTAGTAGAGTGCAGGCGAGCAGCCACTGCCCCACCATGAAGAAGCGGCAAGCTGCGCAGGCGAAGCGGCAATGACATAACAAATCTAGCCCGCTACCCCGGCCCATCTGCACTCCCTCCACATACCCGGCCTCAACAACGAGAATAGCGTCCCAAGGCGGCTTCGGTTGAGCTTTATCCTTCCAGCGCAACGCTCCACTAATACTCTCGCTGCTCGGCACTCGGCTATCTCCTATCTCAGGATCCGCTCAAGTCCGGAGCTCAACTGTGGCCTGATGTTCATTTTCTCGCACGCGACAATACACAGAGACACAGAGAAAGTGCTAGAAGGTAAAAAAGTGCCTGCAACACCATGGCAATTCTCACAACCCCATGCTGACCCATGCAAAGTCCATCGCTATTCACACACTTGCGCCACCACCATTAGCGACCCCGCCCTGCAGTGAGCGCACTGCCCGACTGCCCACAAAAGTCACCTCCTCCATCGCTATCGGACCCTGAGATTACGACGTACCCGCAGCCATAGGGGGCCATACCAACTTTGTCCTCGCCACGGCGAACATCGCTACCCTCTTCTTTTTTGGCGTCATACTAGTGGTCTAGACAGCCGTCATGGCGACCGAAAAGAGAGATGCAAAAGGCAAGAAGCTCGCCGTTATGAACAAGTATGTCTACGATGCCTTTTTGTGGACATTCTCGATTCTCGTCGAGCTCTTCTTCCGAGAAGTCC